AGCCTTACGTCATGTGGTTTCTTCAAGACACTAACATCCTCCTCTTCCAGGCTTTCAAATGACTTTTTCTGAGATCCCTTGGTACTTTCTCAATAAGATTTAATTTTTATAAGTAGCTTAATTTTTTTTACTGAATTTCTTCTACTAAAATTGTTGGTGATCACCACCACCTAGTCATGTTTAATATAGAATGTATTGGCGTTTGCATTTTTTTCAACAAATATTGAGCCTTTTTCTTCCTCATTCCACTAAAGTAAATTTGCTCTTTTCATACTTGATATTTGCTTTATATCATAAAATCCTTTAAAATTTTCTTAGGTGGGATATTTAATGCTTGCTAGATATCCACTTTAATTTATTTGATTTGCCTGCCATGATCTAAATTTTTTTTGGTTTTTTTTTCCTTATCATTGTTTGTTCATGAAAATATTTTAGTAAGATTCAATTAGATTTAAGATTATACTACCATCTTTTTGAAGTAATATGGATTGATTATTGGCTATGTTATAATGTTGTTTAAATAGACTACTAATTTTTAAATTCTCTGGTGAATTCATCATTATAACTTGTTTAAATCTAATTATAACATTTAAAAGTACAGTTTTCTCTAATAATTTTATTCTATTTTTATTTAGACAACTGTTTGGAAACCTTTTTAGTGTGGGTTTTACTATTATTTCAGTATCATGGGTATCATTTGTTAGACTCTTGTTAAAGGCTATTGTGTTAAAAAATCATTCAAAGATCATTCGATTGGATATTATGAAAGAGATATTTGTATCAAGTGTTATTTGAGAAAAGGCTAGCTTGTGATTTCATTGCTTTTTGCTTGAACAAAATATTGATATTTGTACGTAAAAAAAATTATCAAGAAGTCAGCTTAACTTCACTAATTTCAAAGTGACTTTCCCATTTTAGAAAATTTCTACACTACTTTTCTAGTTTAACCTTGAGGAAACTTTTCTATAGGCTTCAATAACATTTGAATTTTCTCTCATCAATAGATCAATACCATGAGCCCAACACTTTAAAAATAAGTAGTGTCTTCCTAGTCTCAGACTACTTTCTCAACATTAACATTCATATATGAGTTTTAGAATATTATCTCATTTTCTGTTGGCAACTAAATGTTTTGATCTACCTAATAATAAAAATAGAATTTTATTTGATGATGAATTTTCTTATTAAGTTTTCACCTCACATCTTTAGCAAGTCATGAAATTACTTCTAACACTTTCAATTAGTCTATTGGTGTCGATTTTCTTCTCGAAGTTGTGTTGATCCATCTTTGTTGTATTTCCAATTACAAGTCATATGCTATTTTATTTAGATTACAAATGCTCAAGAAAGAATCAAATTTATTCATGTTAAGCTACGTCATGAGCCGATTAGCATGAATTTTCTTAATATGAATAGAAATTGCCTAGTTGTCTTAGTATTTTTATTAATTATGATGATTATGCATTGTTAGAGGAATCTAATTTTTACTTAATATTGGCAAGCTTCCAATGAAGGTCTTACATTTACAAAATTATCCTCCAAATGTATTTCTTTTTGTGATGTGTCTAATAAAGATACAATATGTTGCTATGCCATCTTTTTTGTACTCTTTTTATTCTGTTTCCTTATCTTTTTATGTAAAAATCATTTTTATTAATAATATTCATTTAATTTAATAAATATTATGCTAAGATCCAATTAATATCTTATTCATTAGGATTTTATAGGGTTGTTTGTTACAAGAATGAATGTCATCATAATAAAATTAAAATTTCTATTGCATAAAGGCTTTGTGGCATTACCAATCATATTTCTATCAAATAACTTTTAAATTTTACTCTCCAATACATACCAGTAACTTCCATTAAAAATATTCTTCTAATTCTTGATTGTGATTGATGGCAAGTATTGTGGAAGGCAAGCAAAAATGTATGAGCCTTATAGTTCACCACCATCATCTTCACTAAAACTATTATTTGGATAAAAAATAATTGTTATTTTTAATTTCAAAATTTTTCAAAGAAACTATATATTTATATAGGTGTAACTCCCCAAAATTAAAGCTGTAGAGCCATTTATCCATAAAGAAAGATTAAGAAATAATTACTACTCTTGAAAAATAAATTAGAAAGAACAAATTAATACATTGTAGAATAATAGTAATAATTTTGAAGGTTTGCTTAGATTTATATTTTAATTTTGTGTATAATTATTGGAGACGCTTCTTGAAGGGTATTAGCTTATGATATTATTCACTTGTATCCTACTTGGGAATAACTGAGCTAAAAAAACTATTTACATTTTTGTTTCCCTTTTTAAAAAAAAAAATCTTAAAATTTGATAAAATATCAAGCAAGCTTTTGTAATTTAGTAATTTAAATTGTCTTGTGATATGAATTATTTCATATTCATGATTTTAAGGATTCCTAGAACTAGAGGGTGAAGGTCATATTGGATATAACCTAACTATATTAATCATTTGTTTCCTATAAATTGGTTGAGTACTACCTTCAAAATGCATGATATTTTAATAAAATGAACTCTATCAAAATTTAGTTTAGCCTTGCTCATATGGTTTAATTTGTTTACAATTGAATTTAAGAATTAAGGTAACCTTGATAATAATAATGATCCTCTTGTTATTGTTGTTTTTTTTAAAGTTTAAGACTCAAAAGAAGTAATTTAATAACCATCAAAATAGATTTTTATATTTAAATTTTCTTGCAAAATTTTGCCTGACTATAAAATGTGCATTTGCATGAAATAATGTTTTACCTAACTAGAAAAATCTATAGATGGACCACATCTCATTCTCAATAAATTTTTTTAGGCATTTTCTTAACATGATGAAATACCTTGTTTTACTACCATTTGTTGATGTTTGTTTAGGTACAATCATGTTGGGAAGACAATTAGAGTAAAACTTAATTAAATCATACCAAATAATTTTCCTTTAAAAATAGATCTTTTATGATGCATATTTTTTGCATTTCGATGATTGATTAACATGGACCTTGCATAGCCTTGCATTGTTTTTCTTACCTCTATTTTTATTAACAAGATCACAAGCTCAAGGCTTCTCCAATCAACTTTGATCTAGGGTTACTTGTACCTTATTTAGTTTATTTTATAGATGCAAATTACATTTTTTTCTATATTTATATACAATTTTGCTCATGCCTTTTATGTTATAAATCACATTAAGCTAATGAATTTTTTGTGTAAATGCTGCGATGAGCCTCTCAATTTGATCCTTCTGGAGAAACATCTTTTTTCCACTATGACTGAAATTTTTCTCTTTTGTAAATTCACCACATCGAATATCATACCTTTTTTATTTTTTGATAAATCCTTGCTTGCTTACATGTTTATTGCTAACCTTACTCATCCCTCTATCGATAGGATACTTGTTGAGAATGTTATAACATAAACATTTCAAAAAAGAAATTTTTATTAGTATCAATTTTCAGAGTTATTAGAAAATGATAAAGTTTGAAGGGCAATTATTTTTTAAGTAAAAAAACATGTTCTCTCTAATTTCTAAAAGGATGCTTCCAGGGATATGGATCCTAACATTACTATGTTGGGCGATAAGAGCTAATGAATTGGTTGTCAATGAGCACAATTTTTCTATGATAATTAATGCCTAAATTGCTTTGTTAAATCCTCAATAAATTATTAAAATTGATAAGATTGCTTAATAGGAGAATCTAGATCTATGTAACAGCGGTACAAACGAGAATTGATAGTGGCATCACTCGATTCAAACAGATTCTAATATTGTCATACTTGAGATGCTAGAGAAATATAGTAAGTTTTATTTTGTCATAAAGGATAAGCTCATAAGCTCTTTTTTTAATTTGATCCTACATTACCTTTGACTGAGATTGTTGGAAGCAATAATGATCATGATATAACCGTAGAGAATCATAAACATAAAGAACGTTAAACTTATGGGCAACAACCAAAATTAGATTATAAGAAGAGGAAAAGGAGAATTTAGCAGAAAGGAGAGTTCATTGCATTCTTCTATACAATATTCTTCAAATCGAGACTATTTATAAAGATGCAAAACTACCCAACTTAATAACGACCTATCAAGTGCCTAATTACCATAACTCAATTCAATGTATATTACATTTATTTTCCTTATTGTTAACCCAAAATAAAGTAAGTGTTCTTCGATTGGTGATTTTACTCTTAGAGTCTTTTTCCCCCCTTATGCGTCTTATCCTCCCTTGCCAATCCGATATCTGAATTGTCTATCTACTTATTGATGGTGACTCTGAAATTTTTGTTAAATCGTTAATCATGTAATCTAAAGGGTCCTCTTGTGAACAAAGAGCTCGTTTCACATAGAATGCTGGTTGCCGCTACTAGAATCACCAGATCAATGTCATGCAGCTGTTTCTTTTCCTTTCATAACTGTTTGGGCCTCATTTGATTTGAGCTTCGCTGGGTAACAACTAGGAATAATCTTTTTCTTTTCGTGGAGATTTTACAGTTCTTATTTTAAGCAATTAAAATTAATTACATTGGGAAATTGAACATGAGTTTTAAGTCATAATTGGCAATTTGAAATAATTAAGAATGCTTCATAGAGCGAGCTTAATTAATTTCATGCAATTCGTATGGAATTTTTCTTGTTCCTTCAAAAGTTTCAGTATTGCTGCGCATTTTATGAAATGAGCCATATGATTGCTTTCCTATGTCGACCATCAATTCGTTAGGTCACTTGATCTACTTTCTGAGATTACGACAAGATAACTGACAGAATTGAATGGATGTATTTATGGTCAAAAAAGGAGGCTTGCATAAAATAGTATGGCAAAAATACTTTATCAGAAACCGTAAGAAACAGTATCTGTGCAAAGAAAATGACACATAAAAGACAATAAATGTTATTCAGCACCAAGTCTCGCATGATACAAAACGTGGAGAAGCCATGACGGGGAAATTAATTAATACAGAGAAACATGCAAAGGTTTAGAATCACATACCAAAGCATTTTATTTCTTAGACATGATCAAACATTGATGGCGTACTAATTCCCCTCCCGTAGCTGGTCTGTAGTAAAGCTTCACCAAAAAGAACCTTTTCGTCGATATAGTTGCTTGGAAAAGCACTCCTGTGATCCCATTGTTCTTGAAATAAACTAACAGCAGTTTGCTGATTACAGTCAAACACTACTGCTGAACTTGAACCATTATGATCATGTTCCTTTGCATACATAATAGGAGAAGTTGAACAGTGCTCTTCCATCTCTGCCACAAAGTCTAAGGAAGATTTCAAATCATGGGAGCTAGAATATTCCTCTTGCAGAAAACTGCCTAAAGGAATAGACTTTAAAATATTGGCCTGTTGGTTACTTTTACTTCCATCTTCTGGCCTACAACATCTCATCATCTTCTTCTCCAAAGTCCTCTCCCTCGCCCTCGCCCTCGCCCTCTCTCTTGATTCTCTGGCAACTAATTTAGACTGAACTATGGGCCTCTTCTTAGGCTTTGCGTTCTTTTCAAATTCACTTGCAAGAATAGCTGATTTAGTTTTGCCCTTGTTATCCGATACAGTCGAGATGTCTTTTTCGCCTTCAGAAGAAGAAACAACTGTACACTTGGAAGCCGAGCCGACCAGTTCCTTAATGGCTGCTTTTGACATGGTGAGAAGCCATTGAACAGTCTTACTTGCTTTGTCGAAGCCGAGCAGATCCTGGAGGTCGAAAAACTTGCGTGCAACGTCTAGGGAAAGCCTCATCCTCCTGTCTCGAGGTCCTTGCGCCGTGTTTATCTTGCTATGTCTGTCCTTCCTTATTTGACGCCTCCGGCCGGTGATTGGCTGAGCAGCACCACTGGAAGATGTCCTCTCCTGTGCTACAGGTGCCGGAGCAGCAGCGGCTGCTGGGATAAGAATGTCATGGAGATTGTCGTGATGAAAGGTTGGCGGAGAAAAATGGAAGAAGAAAGAGGAGGATATATCCTGCTTTTCGGCATTGTAATAGAGCTCATTAGCCTGAGAAAACATCTTCGGTGATGAAAGATGCTGGATAAGACTGTAGCAGTCCTTGCTAGCTGGCCATGCACCGTACGTGCATAAAATAAGGCTTGGTTTAGTTTGGCATGGGGGAGAGAAGAAGCTAGTTAGCTAGGCACAACATATATAAGTCTTGGTTGTTGAAGTTCGTCCTTGAAGATAAAAATGGCCATGGCTAGGGCTACAGTAGAAGCTAAATGGAGGAAGAGAAGTTGATGGAGAGGTGGAATCGGATACCTCCCTGACTTACTCAATTATTGTTAGTATGCACCATGCTTGCTTTGTTTTCTACATGTCAGAAGCCTTTTAATGAGTAAGAGTAGAGAAGGGAGGTAGTGGATAAATGGAATGCAAATAGTATGGTGCTGATCTGCATCACGTGGGAGCAGTGCTTTAGTGGCGCGCTAAAACTTTAAGCTCTATTGAAACTTTACATCTCGTTATGCGTCGCATAGCCCCCGTTTTGTTTTTGGATTCTTATGACCGCCTACTGTAGTAAAAAGCCTTTCGAAAGAGACCGCACAGCTGAGGCAGCGCGCGCGCGCCCGCGTGAGAGTGATTCATTCACTGTATAATACTGTAGTGATTTATATGGAGACAACATAGGGATGACGGTTGAATGAGTAAAGTTTTATGGTTTTTATGTTATTTTAAACTTCAATCTTGATGGACAACATTTCTGCAATAAATTCATACATATATATTATATATATCATTCTTGTATAAATTATTAACTAGTACATAAACTTGTTTTGTCGTCATTATATGGGAGATGATTTTAACACCTGGAGTCCTTAGCAACCAAGCAAAAATATCAGGTCGGTTGATAAAACAAGACAGGTACACAAAAAAAAATGTGGCCTAGAGTGATAGCTTTTTCTGTCCTGTTTTATTTTCCATCTTTTTTCTTCTCTTCTTAATGGTCTCATTTGTTACGTATTGTTTCTTCTTTCTAATGTTTGAAATCTACAATTAGTTGTAAATGTCTACAGTGACATTACATGGTATTAGTAATTGCCTGTCGTTAAAGAATAATTACTGATTGAGAAACAGCTGTAGATAAAACCAAACTAATGATCTTTTTTGTGAAATGAACCAACGAAGCAGAAACCTACATTGACACTGACTAAACACTTACGGGTAATGCCACCAAAAGTTATAGTACATCAGAAAATATTTTGCGAATTCTTTTTGCCTTAAGTAAGAATATCTATTCTAAACAAAGCAGTACTTAATACGGATACACAAAAATATTATTTTTTGCATGTTACTTGCTTCTCAAATATATATATATTATCTGTCCTAGTTCTATTGATTTTGTATGTTTAAATTTTTATTTATTCGTAGCCTTAAGAGTATTTATCTGTGAAGTTTATATTGATGTTTTAAATTTAAATTTTTATTTATAAATGAAATATATATATATATATATATATAATATAATTAATAAAATTATTTATAGTACATATTTGATCATATAATAAAAAAATGATTTATAAAAAGATAAAATTAGAAAACTTTTATACGCCTCCCAGGTACTGTAGCTTTAATGTGGGGTCCCCTAAAAAAAAAGTACCAATTCTATTTAAATGAATGCTTATTAAACTACTCCTTTCCTCTCTCTCCTAATTATTTATTTCTTCTTCTGTCACTGGCAAGCACTAGCTTGTCCTCTGCAACCCTAGCTCCTCCCCACTTCTTTGACCATCTCCCCCCTCCCCTTCCTCTCTTCGTTCCCTTTTTATCCCTCTCTCACACTCATATGATAACAGTGCAAGTGCTCAGTGCTAATCCATATGTTTTAAAGCTTAGCCTATTATTATTTCGATCTCTTTATCCATCATTTTCATCATCATCTCTCTCTCTCTCTCTCTCTCTCTCTCTGCACCTTTCTTTATCTATATTTTTAGGAGAGATGGCTTGAACCGTTCAAGGCGAATCAGAAGTAGCCACGTCTCAGGCTTTGGGGATCATTGTGATGAACATTGGCGCTTCTTCTTTTTCTTTTTTTTTTTTTTTTTTTTTTTTTTTTTTTTTGACTATTAAGGCTTCTAAGTATTCCGACACCCATGTTTTTACTATTTATACTTGTCATCTTCTTTTGATTGGATCTTATCCTTTGTCTTCCCACTCATATCTCCATCATCATTTCCTCCTCTGGAAGTGCATGGCTTTCCTTTCTCCTTCCACTGTTTTTTCATTCCTTGTACATTAGCACCACACATGCAGTATATTTAATTAATCATTTAACTTGAACCACCATTCTAAATCTGAGAGCTAATCAAAGTGAAAGGCAACCCCGAGAGAAAGTTATGCCAAACCAAAAGAAGATTTGATTTGATTTGGTTTTCCTAAACACATGCATTAAACTTGCAAGTACAAGAATTCACCTCAATTTAAAGAGGTGAGCATATTTATTTCAGTTTTTCCACTATTTGGGAATTTGTGAGTTTTCTCTTTTGACGTATTTATGAGTTTTCCCATTTCAAGAGAACTTGTGATTTTTCCCACTCCTAGGGCATTTGTGAGTTCTTAGTTGCACAAGGTGGGGGCGAAACCCTAAGGGATATTTCTCTTTACCGAAATAATAGCCAAAGCATTCTAAAGTGTAAAGTCTAATTTTCAATTTTACATGCAAGACTTGATATCTTTTATTTAGTGAATTTTTTATTTTGTCTTATTTAAAGTTTCAGGCTTAGCGAACATTTCAAGAGTTTATATTTTGATTATTTTCAGTTGGGTTAGAAGAGAGTTTCTATTTGAGATTTTGAAGTTTAATTGAATTTAGTTTCATCTAAGTTTGAGTTTAAATTTAAAACATTGGCAATCTTAAATTTTTTTAAGGATTTAGAGTTTCAGTGTTTCCGTTAAGATCCTAAAAGTAAACTTTACTAAATGGAATGACAACCATAGTATTATGAACAAACCAAGTATTACTTTTACAAAAAGAATGTGTAGTTTTTTTAATTTTATTTTGACAAGATTAAAGCAAATTACTACTGCTTTTCTAATTTTGTATTTTATTCTGTTTATAATTTGTATTTTTTCATAATTCCAAGCATTCAAAGTTTGTTTAAAACTTGTCAAAGACTAGAATGTGGAAAATTAGTAATATTCTTTAGAACTAAAACAACCCTATTTATACTTTAACATAAAGATCAGTATTCATTGTAGTAGATGACATGCACCTATCACAAGAGTTTAGGATAAAGCATTTCCTCTTAGAAACATCAACCCTTATTAGAATGATTTTTGAATTAAGTTAATCTCTTTGAAAGTTGGGTTTCTGATATTGCTTATATCTGCATAGAATCAATCTTGATCCTGCAATGATATACTCAAAATTCTAGAAACTTTCATAAAGTCACTTTTTGAAAATGCACTTTATAGATTAGGTCATATATTGATTTTAGTGGTAGAACTCCTCAAAGATAATTCTAAAATTACTAAATATAATTTTCTCTTTAAACAAAATTATCAACGCATTCTTCAATTTGATATGAATAAACATTATGAGCATTCATGTCGTGGCCCAATGATGATTATAAATCAACATTTTTTAAGGCCCAAGAGATATATTCTGATATATATAAATCTTGATAAGAGTGTAATTTACAATATATTTCTTATTCTCTGGCATCAAATGTCTCAAACTTGAACGAGAATATTATGTTCAATCTTCAAGCACATGCAGCAATGTGCTTACTTCATATTATAATATATTAGGTTGTACTTTGAGTTTAAGGATTATCACTTTTAAGGAAATCCCAACATATACTTGGGACTTATATGACAAATTTTCCCAAGCTTCAATGATAACCTAACGAAATTTTTGGCTTCATATTCACTTAAAAATAAACAATTAAAAGGAATGTCAGAGATTGTATCCCTCTTTAAAATATTTTTCTTCGGGAAATTCTATTGAATTGAAAAAGTTCAACTTTAAATTTGATTGGCTTCAAAGCTCTAAAGAAATCATAATAATTATGAAATTTTTAGAGATTTATTAGAAAGATTGTATGATAGTGTGACTTTAACTTTCAACTTTGTAAAAAGGTTTGAAGAAAGTGATGTTGGAGCAAAAATTATCATATTAGATAGTTTCTTAAACGTAAATTAATTAGATCCAAACATTTGTCTTGCTCCAAGATCTACCATTATTGGCATCTTTCGTTAGAGACACATTTAGTATTTTATGATTAATGATTTGATCAAGTCAATTTCTTTTCTCTTTATTTTTTTCTTTTATTGTATTTTTTTCTTTCTTTGTCTTCAATAGGATTTATTGAGTTGCTTCTCCAAGAATGAAGGTCATCATCATAAAGTTTAACCTTGCTTTGAATAGAGGCTTTGTGGCATTACTAATCAAATTTATATCAAATCGCTTCATAATTTAACCTCAAATACATACCAGACACTTTCATTATAATTATTCTTTTAATTCATGATGGTGATTTAAGGTAAGTGCCGAAGACAAACATAATTGTATGTAACTCTTATCATGCACCTTATATTTAACCAGCACTAAGGCAAAAACTGAGCAGTATTAGTAATTTCAAAAATTTTCAAAGTAAATCAAAAAATATTATAGTTAGATATAGCTTCTCTAACATAAAATTTCATAAAACTATTTATCCAAAGGAGGGCTAAGAAATAATTACTATTCTTGAAAACAAATTAGATAGAACCAATTAATACATTGAAGAATAATAGTAATAATTTTGAAGGTTTGTTTGGATTTATATTTTAATTTTGATAATATCATCATGCTTGTACTATTACATATTTAGTATTCATGTATCCAAGCAATGACAACTTGTATCCTAAATTGAGAATAATTGAGCTGAAAAAATACTATACACATTTTTGTTTCCCTTTTCTTACCTTTTCTTAAAATTTGTTAAATATTAAGTACACTTGTGTAATTTAATAATCTAATTGTCTTGTATTATGAATTATTTCATACTCATGATTTTATGGATTCCTAGAGCTAGAGGGTAAAAATAATATTTGATTTAACCAAGACATATTAATCCTTTATTTTTAAAAAATTGTCCAAGGATAATTTTTCTATTTATTTTTTTCTAAATTGATGTTCTAATAAAATGAAATCCATAAAACCTGAGTATAGCCATTTCTCATAGAGTTTTATATGTTTATAATTGAATATAAGAAATTAAGGTAACCCTAATAGTGATGATAATCCTCTCGTTAGTGGAGTTTCTTTTAAAATGTAGAGATGCAAAAGAAGTAATTGTAATCATCAAAACTGATTTTATATGCAAACTTTTGTCTAACTAACCAAATTACATTTGCATAAAATAATGTTTTACCTAACTAGAAAAATCTATACATGAACCACTTCTCATTTATAATAAATTATTTTGATTATTTTCTTAAGATGATGAAATGGCTTGCTTTACTATCATTTGTTGATTTTTTTTAAGGTGCAATCATATTCGGAAGAAAATTCGAGTAAAACTTAATTATGTAATACCAAAATTTTTTTCTGCTAAGAATAAATTTATTTATAATGCATATTTTTGCATTTAAATGATTGATTAGCATGGCTCTTGCATGGCATTGCCTTGTGTTTCTTATCTCTAAATGCATATTTTTGCATTTAGATGATTGATTAGCATGCCCTTGCCTTGTGTTTCTTTTCTCTATTTTTATTATCATTGTCTTAAATTCAAGGCCTCTCTCCAATCAAATTTTATTTTTTGAAGGAAAAAATATCTAAGACTATTGTTTAATATCTCTTATATTAATGTGTTTGCCCTCTTTTATGTCGCTGCTATAATGGGATTTGAGCCTTCCTTTACTAAATATTGTATGATGATAGAATATTGTATGATGATAGATCGATAGATCTCTCTCTCTCTCTCTCTTTCTCTCTTTGTGTGCAATGGACTTTGTACCTTGCATTTTGAATTTCTTTCACAATACATATTCTAAATATTTTTCTCAAACATTTAGAAGTAACAGCTCCAAACTTATATATCTTCAAATATTGTAAAATATATACCCTTATTTTTACGAAAAAATAAATCAATGCAAGCAATTCTTTTTAATTTTTTTCAATGGCAATGTTTTTTAATTATAAACCCATGTTGAATATCATCTACAAATTTTTTTAAAATCTAGGGTTACTTGTACCTTATTTATTTGATTTTATAGATGAAGATTACATTTTTTTTAAACTTCTATCCAAACATTTTATTCAAGCCCTTCCTCTTCTTGATCACATTAAGCTAGTAGATTTTTTTTGCGAATGTTGAGATGAGCCCTTGAATTTGATCCTTCTAGTCAAGCACCATTTTTGTCAATGTGAGTGAAATATCTCCTTTTGTGAATTCACTACAAAAAGATCATATCTTGTTTTCTTTTTTTGATAAATCCTTGCTTTCTTACGCTTTTATTGCTAACCTTACTTTTCCCTCTATCGATGAGAAACTTGTTGAGAATGTTATTATGGAGAAATTTAAAAAATTAATTTGTATTAGTATCAGTTTTTAGAGTTGTTAGAAAATGATAAAATTTGAAGGACAACCGTTCCCCAAGTTAAAAAAAAAAAAAAATCTAAAAGGATGCTTTCCAGGATATGTATCCTAACATTGCTACGTTGAGCAACAAGAGCTAATGAATTGGTTGACAATGATAAATTTTGAAGGGCAACCGTTCCCCAAGTTTAAAAAAAAAATTCTAAAAGGGTGTTTTCCAGGATATGGATCCTAACATTGCTATGTTGAGCAACAAGAGCTAATGAATTGGTTGACAATGAGCATGTTGAGCAACAAGAGCTAATGAATTGGTTGACAATGAGCACAATTTTTCTATTAACGCCTAATTAGCTTTGGCCATTCTTTAGGAAATTTTTAAAATTGATGAGAATTATTCTATTATTTTTTTTATCTAACATTAGCATAAAAGGGAATTTGACAGTGGCATCCCTCGATGCAAATAGATTCTAATGTTGTCAGACTTGAGATGCTAGAGAAATCTAATATTTTTTATGTTGCTAAAAACAATAGGTTTATAGATCTTTTATATTTGATTCTACTTTACTTTTGAGTGACAATGTTTAAAACAATAATGATCCCACACTCGCACAATACTTTTCAAGGGAAAATTGGTATGAACCTAAAAAGTCACAAAGGTGAACAAGAACTTTAAGCTTATCGGCAACTCCAAAATTTAGAGACTAAAAAGAGGAAAAAAGAGCATTTAGCAGAGAGGAAAGTTGATTGCATTCATCTATACAATAGTCTTCAAATGGAGATTATATACATAGCTATTAAACTTAAAAATGACCTACTAAGTGCTTAAGTACACTAAATCAACTCAATATCTATTGCATTCATTTTCCAGATTCCTGTTAACCCAAAATAACCCTAAACTCTAAACCCTAACAAAATGTTTTTCAAATCATGCCATGTTCTGGAAGTGTTCAATCTTCCCTTCATGTCAAGATGGTCCAAACAATTGAGCCAATGGAGCAAACGTTCTACTAGTGGTGATTTTACTAAAGTTTACTTTTCTCTCTTATGCGCCTCCTCCTCCCTTGCCAAATTTTGTTTTGAAATTGACCTATGTGCTTATAGAAGGTGACTCTCCTTTGAAAATTTTGTTAAATCCTTAAGCATGTTGCCCAAAGGGGCCTCTTTTGATTAAAGAGCTCGTTACACTCAAAATACCAATTGCCACTATCAGAATCACCAGATTAATGTCAACCTGTTGTTTCTTCTCCTCTCTTGATTATTTGTGCCTCATGTGATTTGATCTTCTTAGGGTAACAACTAGGAATAATATTTTTCTGGTGATTTTATAATTTTCATTTTATGCAATTAAAATTAATTACATGCTTTTAAAAGATAAGAGATGCATATATAGTTGGCAAATTTAACATGAGTTTTAAGCTGTAATTGGCGAATTGAAATAATTTAGAATGCTTCATAGAGTGCACTTAATTAATTTTCGTGCCTTTGGTAGGGAACTTTTCTTGTTCCTTCAAAAAATTCGATATTGCTGCGCATTTTATGAAATAAGCCATATGACTTGTTTTCCTATGTTGACCATCAACTTGTTATTTGGAAAATTGAAGTCATGTTAGTTCACTTGATCTACTTTTCCTAAAATTATGACAAGGCAACTGACATAATTGAATGGATGTATTAAACCTTCAGCAAACATTCATGTTCTCCCAATGGGAAACAATAGGCATGATTTCTCGGCATTTTTAATTTTTAGTGGTTTCCTTGCAAAACTTGAAACTACAAGTTACAATTGAAGTTAATTCATGTTTTGATTTTGAGGATTATAATTATATCCATAGTTTCTGATATTTATATTTATTGAAGTCTCACAACAAATATGGAACTTTTATGTTCAAATAAAAACGGCTTGAATGACATAGCATTGCAAAAACCCTTTAGCAGCAACCATATAAAACACTATCTTGGCAAAGAAAATGACACAGAAAAGACAATACATGTTATTCAATACCAACCATCCCATTATCCAAACATAGAGAAGTCATGACGGGGAAACTAATTAATACAGACAAATGAGAAATAAGCAAAGGTTAGAATCACATACTGTAGTATTTTATTATTTAGACACGAGTCACATGATCAAACATCGACGGCATACTAATTCCCCTCCCGTAGCTGGTCTGCAGTGAAACTTCACCAAAAAGAACCTTTTCATCCATATAGTTGTTAGGAAAAGCACTCCTGTGATCCCATTGTTCTTGAAATAAACTAACAGCAGTTTGCTGATTACAGTCAAACACTACTGCTGAACTTGAACCATTATGATCATGTTCCTTTGCATACATAATAGGAGAAGTTGAACAGTGCTCTTCCATCTCTGCCACAAAGTCTAAGGAAGATTTCAAATCATGGGAGCTAGAATATTCCTCTTGCAGAAAACTGCCTAAAGGAATAGACTTTAAAATATTGGCCTGTTGGTTACTTTTACTTCCATCTTCTGGCCTACAACATCTCATCATCTTCTTCTCCAAAGTCCTCTCCCTCGCCCTCGCCCTCGCCCTCGCCTTTTCTCTTAATTCTTTGGCAACTAATTTTGGCTGAGAAATGGGCCTCGACCTCAAAATCCTACTTTTAGGCTTTGCGTTCTTTTCAAATTCACTTGCAAAAATAGCTGATGTAGATATGTCCTTGTTATCCGATACAGTCGAGATGTCTTCTCCCTCAGAAGAAGAAACAACCATACATATGGAAGCCGCCCCCACAAGTTCCTTAATGGCAGCTTTTGACATAGTGAGAATCCATTGAACTGTCTTACTTGCCTTGTCGAAGCCGAGCAGATCCTGGAGGTCGAAAAGCTTGCGTGCAACATCTAGGGAAAACCTCATCCTCCTGTCTCGTGGTCCTTTCGCCGTGTATATCTTACTATGCATATCCTTCCTCATTTTACGCTTCCAACCGGCGATTGGCTGGGCAGAAACCGGAGCACCTGCTTCAGCGCCGCTAGCTGCTGGGATAAAGATGTCATGGAGACTGTATTGATGAAATGCTGGCGGAGAAAAAGGGAAGAAGGAGGAGGATGTATAATAAGGCTGAGAAAACATCTTTGGTGAAGAAATGTGATGGGTGGTCTAATGGATAAAAAGAGATCCTCGATAGAACTGTAGCATGGCGGAGATAAGAAGTCTATCAACCACAACAAATATAAGTTTTTGTTATTGATGTTTGTCCTTGAAGACAAAAATGGCCATGGCTAGGGCTACAGTAGATGCTGGTTGAAGGAGAGGAGATGGAGAGGTGGAATCGTACACCTTCCTGACCTCTCAATTATTATTAGTATGCAGCATGCTTGCTTTACTTTCCAGATGCCAGAAGCTTTTTAATGAGTAAGAGTAGAGAAGGGAGGTAGTGGATAAAGGGTTTGGGAATAGTATGGTGCCCTACATCACGTGGGAGCAGTGTTTTAGTGGCGCGCTAAACGCTAAACCTTAAGCTCTTTAGAAACTTTACATCTTGTTATACGTCGCAAAGCCCACGTTTTGTTTTTTGGATTCTTATGAACGCAAACTGTAGTAAAAGTATTTTGACAGAGACCGCACAGCTGAGAGCGCGCCGGTGAGAGGAAAAATTATTACATAATGGAGATGATTCTTGCGTGCGTATGAGCGTATTTTGGATATATTCTGATGAGTATGCTTAAAATGCATCCTAATCCGTATCTTTATTATCCAGGTATAATAATTTCTCTAATGACTGAGATTCATTACACTGTACAATGCTGTACTGATTTAGATCAAGACAGATGGATGACGTCTAAAAGAGTGACATTTTATGGTTTTTATTTAATTTTAAACAATGTAATATATATATATATATATATACACACACACACACACACAATACGGTTGAAAAGTGTAAGTTTACTCTCATTGGAAAGTTCCAGCTGGGACATCCTAAAATGGACATAATTAGAAAGGTTTTTGAAGATTTAAAATTATTTGGAAAATGGAACGCTAGCCTCTTTGATGGGAGACATGTGATGATATAATTGTCAGAAGAAGAGGAATATGCCAAAATATTTTCCAAGAAGTACATTACAATTGATGGGAAATACATGAAATTGCTCAAGTGGTCTCCTGAATTTGATCCTAGCCAAGAACCCCCTATTGTTCCAACCTGGTTTAAACTATCTGCCCTAAACCTGCAACACTTTAATCGTGGCAGTTTAGAACCATCAAGAACAGTTCAAGGGTCATTGTCTACTGATCAGCTTCTGTGAGTCGGGGGGAAAGTGATCCGAAGGCGGATAGGATTTGGCAGCTTCCCCAAAAGTCTACTGGCATAAAAATCACACATACAAGTTCATTGGCATCCTTTAACCAAGTTGAATGAGCAATAAGAACAGCTCACTCAGTCCATCCTTCAGCCATACCGGCCCAGGAAATGGCCCAACTGGTCATTCCATTAGGTTCTTTATACGTATTCATCATCCTAAAAGTGCGTTGAGCATGGACTATGCCCCACTTGGCCAAAAAATGCAATCGGACGTCATCCTTGGCTCTCGGCACCATCCTGTCAGACTCCATTTTAGTCTCTTGGCCCTACAATTATGTATTGAACTAAATGGCCTCAGTCATACTTTTTTTTAAAGGCACAAAATGTAATTTTACATCCCCCCTTTATTATAAATAGATGCTCATTTCATGAATAAAAGGCACGCGATTTTAGCGTTCATTTCCCAGTTCTCTGCTCACTTCCTCTATTTCGTGCTATATTTCTTTGGCGTGTCTCACGGACAATTTTGGATATCCTAAAAGATGTGGTGAGCATGAAGTCATACTATCAATAAAGGATTACAACAATCATAAAGAGAAGAGAGTCATCAGTGAGAAGTGTCAAACGTGGAACACTCTAGAGGAGACATAGAGGAATACATGCAAGAAGAAATGCAAGAGTTAAGAACCCAGATAATGGATCTGGTGTCATGCCAGATTGCAGAGGTCTTGAGGGTCGTTGCAACCATATCAAGAGATTGGGCCCCCACAGAGGAAGAACCCTCCTCAAAAGGTGGTGTCGACACACAATGACAGAATGTTGAGCAACGACCCTGAGAGGGCCAAAGACTACCAAGACAATCTTGGATTCACGCAAGAGGAGAGATAGCGATTCAGGCTCACTGAGGCGTCGTGTTAGCCAGGAAATCCCTTCTTCCTCCACATTTCAAGAGCAGAACCCCTAGAGAAGTTCAAGCTCCTTTTGTTGGACGTGTATCGAGGTCGATAGGATCCAAACGACTACATTGCCTCATTCAAATTTTTGGTGTGTCTATTGAATGTATCTAACCCATTTAAGTGTCTCTTGTTCTTCACCACCCTAAGGTCATCAGCCCTGAAGTGGTTCAAGTCACTCTCAGCTGGAAGAATATGAAACTTTTCAAACTTCTAATGACTTTTCTTAATGCAGTTTTGGTTCTTGAATAACAACGCTGGTTCATACACGGAGGTAAGGTATCTTGAGGCCACATTATAAGGAAGTGGGTCCATAGTTTCTATAGAATTAACTAGCCCTGGGAGACAATGTTGCTTCTGGTGCTTGGCGGCCAACTTCTCGCTTGCAACTTTTTCCCTAATCACCTTGTCAATATCTGAGAGGGGTCACTATTCCTCGCTCATCTTGCCCCACAACACATGATTAACTTTTGCCTCGACGGTGTGCTATGGAACTGAGAGATGATTACCAGTTAACATAGCCTTGCTAATGTCCATACTTGATGAAAGAGACTTTGGTCTGTCCACCACTAGCTCCAATGGTTCATTCTGAATCCCTCAATCTCCATAACAAGAATCGGCTATAAACTTCTTCTTCCAATTCTTTATATTATTCTCCACTCCTGGTAGGTGAAGTTCCTTGCTCACTGAAAACATGGTAAAGCCCCCATTATCAACCTTGAATGAAAAAGTGCTTAAACAGCTCGATCGACCACTAAGAAATATGCACCCGGAGATAATAAAGGAAAAAAGTCATTATTGCGGCTATGAAGTTTGGCAACACTTGTGCTGGAATGACCCTACACGTATTGAAAATACTCTGGAGCTCATCACACAAAGGCAACCAGAGGTCATACTTGAACTGGTCCGGATAAAAGACCAGATCCGTACCCTAATCGTCTGTCTCTAGAGCAAACCCAAGCATCCTCTGAAGATTGACGTCGTCGTAAAGAACATACATACCCATAAATCTATCTATCAAAGAAAGAGCATTCAAAAGCTTTTCTCTCTCACGAGTCGAGGTAACTCCGCCTCTCGAAAGTGGTAGCTGACGAGAGATGATGATCGTTGCTCCGTTCAGCTCTCGTTCGCTATCTTCAGCACCTGCCACAAGAAAAACTTGATGGCCTTGGCAATCGTGTTCACATCGGGCATGGACACCAAAGTATTCTGAAGAAGCTTTTTTGATGATCGTTCCTCAGCGCCATCAGGTAAATCGACTATATCGGCCGAATCAGGTTTGGGCCTTAACTATTTTTTTCTTTCTTCCCACTAGTCCTCTTCTCTACAGGGGTCGGGGCCTGGAGCCCGACTCGGCCAAATTTTGGGATCCACGTCGACCCGGCTCATACCATCAATGATGTGCCTTAGCTATCTGGAAAAAACTGGTAATTAAGGATACAACTCCAAGTTTATAACTTTATTTATAGAGCACACTAAGCACAAACTTCAAAAGGGAAGTAAATTGTTCAATCAATTCTTGATTTTGATGCCACTGATTGCTTAATAATTTCTCAGTTCTTATCATAGTTGTCATTATTAAGGAACAGTGAAACTCAGGGAACTAATATGTACACATCAATATTGTTGGCACAAATATCAAAGCAATCCAATGGCTAAAGATTATGACACAATGATCGAGATATTGAATTCAAGAGACATGGTCTGAACCGGTCATTTGAAAGATCAACAAACAGATCAGGTCCTCCCTCAGCAAAGCCGGTCGACGGGCTAATCTACAGTCCCAACCGTCGAAGCTCTCTAATAAAAGCCGACCGACCGACGACACATACCTTGGTAGAAACGACCTCCACTAGGTCCGTCGCCTTGGTCGATCGAATCAGAATAAGTTGACCGACTGATTACCGTTATATCTGAATTCAAAATGTAGTCTAAATTTTATATTAAATCAGCGCATTGATTGCATTAAAGACAGTTTTCATAATCAATCTCTCATAACTGTAATTGAGGGTTATTTTCATAATCTCTCTCTCCTTTCTGTAACTATACAAGAAGACCTCCTATAACTAGGAGGCTAGACGCTGAATAAAGGGACGCCCGGTCTTAGGACTCTTCCTCAGTCTCTCGACTAAGAATCTCCTAACTCTTTTCCTCTCTCTCAACTCCTCCCTGCTGTAACTCTCAAAGCATGTATTTCTAAAGGACAATTCAGAATTCAACAGCATAAGTTGGATGAATTCTATGGAACATATTATATCTAATTTTAACTATTAATTTTCACAAACATGAGGTTTTATAATACAAATTAATTTTATGAAGTTAATTTTTATTCTTGCACTATTTATGTTGTGATATTTTTAATAAAAAATAACAGAAATATATATATAATTAAATTTAAAATATATGTCTATAATGAGTTGTATCTTTTCTTTCAATTATATCATTTCTCTGTATCGTATTCTATCGTGCCATGTCTACATGCTCCGGATTAGTGCTTCATGCTATTCTCCTAATTTAGTTTTCCTTTGTAATTTATCTTTTCTTTCAATCAGTTCTATCTATACTCTGATTCTTGCAATAGCTTTAATTTGCTCACTGACGTTGCAATTTTATCTGTCCTTTTATTTTTCTTTTTAATGTACGAAACCTACAACTAAATATTCTTCGTAGTTGTCAACGTCTACCTAAAATTCCACAGTGACATTACATGGTATTAGTAATTGGCATTTGGAAAATACTAAATTACTGATGGAGAGGACTGCCGTTGATAATTTCTTTTTTGTGAAGTGGACCAATAAGGCGGAGTCCTACATTGACATTGACTAAACACCTGCGCGTAATTCCACCAAAAATTCCAGTACATCTGAAAATATTTT